GGTACCTGTGCAGAAGGACCAAGCTCTGCGTTTTCAAGGCCTTGATAGTGACAGCTTTGCTATACGGTAGCGAAACGTGGACATTATCTTGTGCCTTGGAGTCATGTCTTGATGCATTTTGTAATAGGTCCTTGGGGTACATGTATCCATCAATGGTTGCATCGTGAGACTGGCAAAGGACCTGTTACCTGCACAATCCGTGATCGCCAACTCAGGCGGTACGGCCATCTAGCTCACTTTCCTAAGGATGATCCTGCCCACCAAGTTGTCTCTGTTCGAGACAACCCTAGGTGGAGGTCTGTGTGACGACCTAGGAAGTCGTGGCTTGGTCAGATTGATCAAACCTGCCGTGAAGAGCGCGAGATGGGCCGAGTACCTGGCTGGTGGCTTGTCATGAGGGACCCTCGTAGGTGGAAGCAAAGCGTGGATGCGGCTATGCGCCCCCGTCGGCGTTAGTCCCTTGATGATGATGCAGGGGGTGGGGGTAAAATGTTGAGAAATCTAAGAAGAGTGACGAAGAGAAAAGCTTGAGAAGAAAATGCTAAAGCCGTCAATGTGAGGGAAGGAGAGTGAGAGGAATGGCGGTAAAAAGAAAGCGTAAAGGAAAGAGACATTGAAATGGTAAAAAAGAAAATGTTGCGTCAAATACGGAGGGAGGGAGAGTGTTAAAGGAAGAGCCGAAATAAACAGAGGAAGAGAAATTAGAGGAAGATTTAAAATTTACACCGGGGTTTAATGTTTAAAGGCAGTTCACTAATGGTCTGGTGTATATTTCAGTGTGTTCCCATTAACAGATGATAATGATAATAAATGATGGTAGCCGTAATGCCATACTTCTACTACTACTGTTGGTGCTTATGATGATGGTTATAATTATGATAATAATGATAATGATAATGAAAACGATAATTATGATAATGGTAATGATTATAATGATAATGATAATAATGATGATGGTAATAATATTGATAATAGTATTAACAAAAATGATATTGATAATAATGATGATGATAATAATATTATTAATAACAGTATTGACAATAATGATATTGATGATAAGGGTAATATTATGTTTACTATTAGAAAATAGCTGTTAACATATTTGTGTTATTACAAATTATAACAACAGTAATAAGATCAACAATAGGCATGAAGTTCAAAATGGAGCCCAAATGGAGGTAAAACATTGCTCTTTGAGACGCATCGACAACAGAAACGGAATTCACGATGAGATTGCGTCCAAGAGAGAGAGACAGACGAATAGATAGCTAGTATTCCTTGGCAGCGAGCGGTCGAGGAGCACATACACCTCGATGTTCCTCGGCAGGGAAAGGGAGTCGAGTATTTGCACTGGAACGAAGGTTTTTGTTTATTTTTTATTTTTTTTTTAATTATAATAATTATTATTATATTATTATTATTTTTATTTTATCTATATTTTTCGAAGGACAGACGTTCAGGTAAGAGCAAACACACATTTAAGTAAAACAAAAAAAAAATATATATATGGTATAAAATAAAAGAATTGATAAAGAATATAAGAATGGATAGATAATCCGGTGAAGGCCCATAGTAGGGTAACACGTGGACGATATATATAACGAATAAAGCTATCTAACGAAAACCCACAAGTGAGGAGACGATAAAGACGACATTCCAAAAAGAGCAAACACACTCCCGAACAGCACTGATAGTACACAGGAGGGTTGGGGGATCACCCGATACAGGTAAACAATAGAGATCACATTCATTCAGGAGTAAACACACTCATTATAGAGTTACGGCAACGGTCGTAGCTCAGAGTCTAATACTCCAGGCGGGGGAAGAGTCGCAGGAGCATCGGGCTGTATTTGCTCCCGAGTATTAAGTTCTCTTTGTTGACTCTCGCGAGCGTTTGCCAAGGCAATATTGCTGGGGTTAGCTGTAAACTGTGGTCGTCAAGCGGCTTCGCTGAGTGAGTAGTGTTTGTTTTGAATACTGTGTGTGAGTGTGTGTGTGGTCGTGTGTGTGTGTGTGTGTGTGTGTGTGGTAGTGTGCGTGTGTGTGTGTGTGTGTGTATGTGTGTGTGTGTTTGTGTGTGCGCGCGTGTGTTTATTTGTACTTATGTGCGTGTGTGTGTGTATGCGTGTGTGGTAATGTGTGTATGTCTTTGTGGTGTGTGGTGTGTGGTGTGTGTTGTGTATTGTGTGTTTATAAACCTGCAAAAAGTGTATTTAGAAGGTATTTTCGTAGTCTTTCAGGTCGGACGCTCTTTACTCTCGAAATTAGTTTATTTTACGAAGGAAATGACAGTATGAAAAGCACTGGTGATCGTGAATGATACTCGTTTGAGCTGCTAATCACATAATGTGTTATACTCTAGTTTGAATTTGGATGGGGATGGTATGAATTATATGAATTATGTTTAGTTTTGTAATGTGATATTTTACGAGTGTATTTTTATCATTAATACTATGATATAAACGCTAGTAACGATACGGGAATCTGTTGATGTTTGATGCAACAACGACGACAATGCCAGTAATACAATAGTGATGATGGAACCATGTTGGCTATGTTGTATTATTAAATCAAATGCAGGTGTATATAAGCTTTCTCTCTCTCTCTCTCTCTCTCTCCTCTCTCTCTCTCTCTCCAATCTCTCTCCTCTCTCTCTCATCTCTCAATCTCTACTCATCTACAGTCTCTCTCTCTTCTCTCTCTCCTCTCTTTCTCTCCTCGTCTCTCCTCTCTCTCTACTCTCTCACTTCTCTCTCTGCAAGTCTCTCTCTCATACTCTCATCTCTACACCCTCCTCTCTCTCGTCTCTTCTCTCCTCTCATGCTCTCTCTCTCTCCTTCCTCATTCTCTCTCTCTCTTCTTCTCTCTCTCTCTCTCTCTCTCTCCTCTCTTCTCTCTCTCTCTCTCTCTCTCTCTCTGTCTCTCTCTCTCCCCCTCTCCTCTCTCTCTCTCTCTTCTCTCTCTCTACCTCTCTCTCTCTCTCTCTCTCTCTTCTCTCTCTCTCATCTTCTCTCCTCTCTCTCTCTCTCTACTCTGGATTAGAAAGTGCAATTGTTTTAATTATATTTTGGGCCAATATCCTGGCTTTTGGGTACAGAACAAATGCACGTACTGTTTATTTAATTCATGTATGTATCAGAGAAATACCGTATTTCAATCTAATGATTTATCAAAACTGACCTGTTACAGAGAGGCAATCTGCTCCCTCAAATCCTCACACCAAAACTGCATTAAAAACAAAACAAAACATTGCTGTGAGATAAGCAATTTTTATCGTGAAGGAATTGTGTCTGTTATGTTATTACAGGACGAGCGTGGCGGGACTTGTCGGACTTGTCTCCTTTCTGTAATTGGGATTTGATGTTGTTCCGATAGTGTTTTTATGGAAGATATGACTCTGCACTTATTTATAAAGAGGAGAATAAGTTTCCGATTACTATTAATGTGTCTGGGAGAGTTGCAGTCTGCAGTGGCGTAGAGAGGGAGAGAAAGAAAGAGAGGGTGAGGGGGACGAA